TGTGCAAACGGGGCAGTTTGTGCTGGGGTCTTGCACGGATGCTCAGAAATTAAAGAATTAAAGGCTAGGCTTTTTTTAATGAGTTGGGTCATTGTTGGGTGACCCATGCTCTCAGAGCATCGCTGAGTGATCAGAGGATGTTCCCCCTACCCAAGGAGGCTGATTGCATCTCAGAGGGAATGTAGCCATTTTCTGAGCTGGAGATGGTTCGGGGCTGAAATGGTCATTTTTGATAGGTCTGTTTTTTTCCGTGATCTTTCAGTTTTTCCAGGTGAGGCAATTCAGCATCTCTTGGGAGTGACACTCTGAAATTCATTGTACGGCATCTTTTGTGAAGAGGAGGGTGTATGGAATGCTTTGATGTGCATTCCATATGAATGTTTTGATAGCATGAAATGAAATTATTTTTCTTGATACTATCACCTACTAAGTTGGGGAACATTCCTGTCTTAAATACCATAAAAAGGCTAGTTAATATTTACCTTACACTTTGTTCCTCTGGCTCTTCCTATGCAACAGTCTTCCATGTATTAGGAGAGTGTCTTCCCCCACTCCTCACTAGGGAACAATTTAAAGTTTTCTTTCTCTTTGTGTAGCTATGTCAGCTGGTGCAGACGGAGCATAAATCTTATTAAATCTTACTTTAAAAATGGTCCAAGGTGACCTTAGGTGGTTAAAATGTCAGATTGTGGAATATTTGCTTAAAATTTTGCTTTTTGACTTAAAAAAAAAGTTTAGAAGAACAGGGTTCATTGTAAGGAATCTCAGCAGTGTTTTAAATAGTAATATCCTGCTTATGATCCTTATTTGGAATCATTTTGTGAAGACAAAATAGCATAGTCATGACCTGTGCTTTGTGTGAGAATATGAGCTGTGAAAATACAACCCCTTGGTCTCTTGGCTGTTGATTCAGGTTGGTTGTCAGATCCATACTGAGTGTGGGTGAAGAGTCCTGGCTGGATGTGAAGGAGAAGAATTTGTGAGATACGTTCAATGGAATATCTAGGATTACATCTTAAAAGCTTCACTTTCTTGTGGATCTAATACAAGAGTAATTCTTGGAAGCCTCTTTATGTTGCACTTCATTCTTTATCAAACAACTCATCTTTGGACAGAGTGTAGGTTGGAGTTCACAATCTACTGGACAGCCCTTCAGTGCTTTTCTGTCTCCTTCAAACATCTTTTGGTTGGAGTCTGCAGGAAGGAATTGACTTTTAAGATGAAAAATGAAGGTCTCAAACACAGGTCACTTCCCTGACTCCATAAAGCGAACAAGTTCATGGTTCTTCACTGGTACAAAACAGAAGTCCTATCGACCTGACCCCCCCCCCCCCCGATTTTGCCACTTTCACTGCTATCCGAGGTTCAGTCTATAGCTCTGTCAAAAGTACATGCCTAAGGAGAGGAAGGTAACAGACAAGGAGATGGCTTGAGCTGATTCACCACCTGGATGTTGTTGCAGGGGAATAGTCTGGGCTTGATCCTGCCCTCTTCCTTCCACCAGTACTGGTGCTGAACTTGTTTTGGCTTATTAAACCAGGAGAAAACCACCCCCTGTAATAGCTTGAATACCCATTGTAGTGAGCTGCTGATTTTCAGCAAGCAAATAATACCTGCAACCAACAAGCTGGAGAATTTATAGAAAAATAGAAGAGTTGAGGGGTTTGCTTATTATTTAATTCCTCTGCTGGGTAGCACTGACTTTGATAAGCAGTCTCTGCACCTGGAGGTGTTCTGCAATTAAACAACATTGGGATATTCACTTTGTGTTTAGGAGAGGATTTTGGTGTTGGTGAACAGAGCACACGCCCCCCGCAGTGCCTGGTGGGTCGAGTAGCAGAGGCGAATGCCCCTGGTTGCATTCTTGTCTGTAATAAAGTCAGTGCTGGAGCATACTACAGCAGCTCATGAGGTTTAACAGGTCCCCTGCTGCACTTAACTCACATGGCTGGGTTGTAATGAACATGCTGAAGTGGAAAAACAACCCGTTCCTTAAGGCAAAAAAAACAGGCACAGAAAACACCCTTTGTTTTTTAAAATGAGCCATTGCACTTGGGACCCTTAAATGGTCAAAATTTAACAGGTGAAACTCCTTCTTTCTTTCCCCCTGCATTTCTACACTAATTAGCAACAAGTCTCTTAACTTTTTTCATGTGGCTATCAATCATCTGGGGGCTCTCTGTAGCAGTGCATGCTTTGCTCGCTGCTGGTTTCCTTCAGCTCATGTTGACTTGTTCCTGCTGCCCTTGGAGAGGAGCTGTGGGCTCAGGGTGCTGCTCTCTGTATTGAAGCTGCTGCTTTATTTGCTTGGAGCTGGACGCATGCTCAGCACGTCATGTTTCTTCGTGTGGGAGATTGAACCCTTGTTGTGTATGAGTAACAGTGTCATTCCTCATCAAGGAATGAGCAGGATAAATGTGTTTTCCAAGTGCTGGCCCATGACTTGCAAATTCTCCATGTTCTTCAGGGCTGTGCTGCCAACCTACTGCGTGACCTTCAGTAAGTTATTTAGGGCAAGACCTGAACTCTTGGTGTTAGGCGATACTCATAGTCTGCAAGGAAGACCATCTGATTAGAGGGGGAAGCAGAAAGCTGCTGAGAGTCTGGAGTACAGTGAGCTGGAGATGAAGGTAGGATCTTCATAGCAGGCAGAGTGCTTAGCCTTATCAACCTGGTGCATTTTAAGGGTAGAATCCAAGGAACTGGAAAGTTGACTTCTCAGGTATCTCTCCAGATTGCAAGAATGTGACCTTCATCTACAGCCCAAACTGGGATGCACTGAGACAGTATTTTACCTGAAGGGTGGAAGGTGCTGAGGATCCTCCATAACATGAAGGAAGATGCTTAAAATGAACATTAATGTCTGCCACTGGTTTACCTATTGTTCCAACCCTTATAACTTGACTAGAGAAGCCCATATGTTTATGTAAATATACAGTGTGTGAAAGAGCTGAGCTCTTCCATAGCCCTTGGGTCCTGCTGCCAGCCAGCTGGGCTTGAAGGCAGATAGATGATGGGAATGATGAATGCTGTGGTGTGTGTGAGGTGGGGGGAAAAATAAAAGGAAGAAAATAAGAAAATGATAGTTTTGCTCATTGGATGGTGAGGACTGTTGGGTTCATCTCCTAGGAGAACTAAGCAAAGTACATATTGACACATCCATGGTGGAGCCAGGACAAAAAGCTTGGCTGCTGCTCTGGGCACAGCACGTTGAGGGGCTGGCTGTGTGGGGCAAGCCTCATTTCTCTGGTAACAGTGATTTATCTCTGTTTGCATGCTCATATTTTACAGATAGTTGGTTTATGGAGAAAACTGTTAGCTCAAGGATTTCAGGCAGGTGTTCTCGTAGAAGAGAAAGGTTTAACAGGCATTTTGAGTGTCATATCAAAGTGGCTGAGGTTTCATATCAAAGTGGCTGAGGTTTGCTGTGTAGTTGATGGGACGGGAGTCACTTTGGGAGATCTTCCAAAATGTTTGTATCAGCTCAGGGGTTTGGGTCAGGCCTTCTCCATCTTCTGTTCATTTAATGGTGGGGGGAGGTTAGGAAATATTTCATTTCATATAAGCAAGGGCAAAGCAATTCAGATGCCTTTTTCCATGAGTTAGCAGACTTCAGCTGCAGCTCCATCTGCAAGTCTTGTCTGCAGACTTCTAGGTGCCTTGTAGTGACTTGCCCCCTGGGTTTTATACTCAACAGCCCACACTGGAAAGACACCAGATTTTCATGGGTTACGGTGTTGTCCAGTCCCATTGGTGGCAACACAAGCCAGGTTAGCTTGGGCTGTGGCAAGGCTTCATCTTTACCGCAGAGAAGGCAATTTTATTGTTTTCCCCAGGGAGGAAGGAGTTTTGATTCAAAGCAGGTTTTGTACTTGAGGTGATTTAAACATGATCAAAGTCAGTGGAATTTTACTTAAAATAAACACCTGATTCTCCTAATCAACCCTTTAAAGAGAGCATGGGGGGGGATGATGAGGTTTTGTACATTTAATTGTTCACTTCTTTTCTTGTTGATATCTGATGTTTTGTTAATACCCGATGACGTTTCTGCTGTTTGAGGATAGATAGGGCTTTATTGACACAATTAGCAAAACAAATGATTATCACACCTTGTATTTAACCCTGTGCTGCTTGATCTATTTGCTTGCACTTTCATTACTCCTTTGCTTGGTTACATTACACAATGATATCACCTTTTTGTGCGGCTGCAAGCTAAAACAAAGCAGAAAAAAGCCACCCTTTTGGCTCTCAGTTGTTTTCTGCTGTTTTTATTACACATGAACTAGAAAGCGATGTTGGGCAGTGTTATTTGAGTTTCCTTTCAGTGCTTGCTAGGCATTATTTCCGGGCCTGGCAATTGCCTGTGTTTGAGCAACAGTTTTCATATCTTAAAATAACAAGCAAAAGTCCCAGCGACTCTATTCCCAGCACAATTAGTAAAATCAGATTAAAAAACAAAACAAAAAACCCCACCCCAGATTACGATGGGTTTATATCCATCAAATACTAGAATCTATATGACTAATTCCCTGGGTATTTTAATCCACTTTGCTGAGATGTGTTTATTTTCTTTGAAGGTAGAGGTGGGAAGCGTGGCTCTGCCTGGTGGGAGGTCAAAGAGGGTTGTGGTACTTCAGAACTGCTTGTTTCTGAGATGTTGAGGGTAGGATCCCACTGATGGATTGGGCCAGAGCTTGGCATGGACCCTGACAGTGTGATGCTCCTAATGTGAATGGATGTTTTCCTCTGAAATCAGGAGGGCAGATGGTCCTGCTGACCCACCGCCTTGCAGTCCTTTCTGCCTCTTCCCTGGTGGAGAAAATACCTCATTAGGTTTAAAAGGGTTGGGAAAAAAAGGAGAGGGGAGGAAAACTCTCCTTTCCTCTGAGATAAAAACAAACAAAACAGAGAGGTCTGGAAGGATCTATTGGCTAGGTGAAGTCTTGTCCAGTGTGGTAAGAGCTGTCGTGTAACAGCCTGTCCCTTTCCTCTCTCTGAAGGTCCCAGCCCCACGTTTCCCACCGGTCCAGAGTAACATTTGGAGGAACCCGGCAGCATGGTCCTTTCAGTAGCTCCCAAGGATTTTTAGGATCATAGGATGTGTGGATGCCCAAAACCTTCTGGAGAATGTTGGCTGTGGATAAACGCATCTGGAAGTTCCTACCGTCTTTTTACCCTGTTTTTTCCTGGGTCACCTTGTGTCATTTGGGAAGGAAGCCTCTCTGTCCTGAGGATTATAACAAACTGGTCCTTTACTGGAATACCTCCCCTTGTGTTTTCTCAAGATGAAGCCATTGCTTTACCCGGGAGAAGGATACTTTTTTCTTCTTCCAGAGCTTTTCCAGTGCAGCAGGCCTCATGTCCAACAGGTACGTAGATGGTTTTCTCATTCACTATTGAGTCTGCTTTGCTGATCTTTACAAGCTCAATTTGTGCTCTAGGGGCTAGAGGGAGACCTTATAATAGCCTTCCGGTACCTAAAGGGGCCTACAAAATATCTGGAGAAGGACTTTACAAGCGCATGTAGGAGTAGGACAAAGGGGAATGGTTTTTAACTGAAGGAGGGTAGGTTTAGATTAGACATTGGGAAGAAATTTTTTACTATGAGGGTGTTGAGGCACTTGCACAGGTTGCCCAGAGAAGCTGTGCCAGCCCCATCCCTGGCAGTGTTCAAGGCCAGGTTTGATGGTGCTTGAAGCAGCCTGCCCTAGTGGAAGGTGTCCCTGCCCATGGCAGGGGGTTGGAACTAAATGATCTCAGAGGTCCCTTCCAGCTCAAACCATTCTGTGATTGTGTTTCCATACCAGCTTCTACTAAAGGTAAGAACTTCCAAAGTCAGTTGAGGCTGGAAAGCACCACTGGGGATCATCTAGTGCAACCTCCCTGCTCAAATAGTCACCTAGAGCACACTGCTTAGGGTTGTGTCCAGATGGCTGTTGAGTATCTCCATGGAAGAAGATTCCACAATCTCCCTGGGCAACCTGTTCCAGTGCTCAGTCACCCTCACAGTAAAGGAAGTTCTTCCTCATGTTCAGTCCTTGGTGCATGCTCCGAATGCGGCTTTCCCTCATTAGGACAGAGACCCCGTTTGAAATGTAGGTTTGTGTAGAATGGTAGGGTCAGCTTCTTCTGAAGGTTTGATGCCCTACCTGAGCCTTACATCTGAGGAGGGGGATGGAGGTGCTCATATCTGCTGCTCCTTATTCCTTCTCCTGGGTCACTCCAGTCTCTCTTGGGCAGCTTCTTGCTAGGTTTGTAACAGCCAGCACCAGCCTCGTGTGGATCAGCTTATTGGACTTCATTGTCTGCTTGCAAAGGAGGCGACATGAGCATTTAATCTGTTTTTCCTCTTCTTAATTTAACATTATTTCTGCTGAAGAATGCCATTTTGAGGATGATTTATCCCATTAAAAAGGGGGTGGCTTTAATTTTAAAATTAAAACTATTCCTATTCAATATAGACATGGATAACTCAATAGCTGTAGTGATAACAACCAAATTTGCATTTTTATAGTCATTCACAACGAGTTCTTGTGCAGGTGACAAGCTTTTCCATTTTCTCTAATACAAGAATGAGATCATTGTGTTGGTCTCTGTGGGTATCAGTTTGCTGCGAAAATCATCCTTTTTGGCAGTTGTGCTGGTTTAGGTTGAAACTGCTCATGTGTGTTGGTGAACAGATCACTCCTTCTACAAGGTAAGGGAAAAGTTAGCTCTTTGAGTCTAGCTTTACTTATTTTTAATGTACAAAGAGGAGGTTCTGAAGGGAAGGGACTGAAAATGCTTGGCCATACATTTATTCTGCATTCCTGTCAGCACTTGTGAGGCGTTAAAAGCTTTATCTTCTTGCTTCATAAGCATGATTTCACATCAGATTAAAGGAAGGAAATGGCGGATAGAGCGTGTGCAGCGAGGGGGGGAAACAAAATGAGCCACCTCACTCTTAAATTTGGCTGTGACACATAGGCCAAATGGAGATGGGAGACAAAGATTGGGGATCAGAAGGTTCTTTCTTTTAACTAGTGGGAAAGTCAAGTATGTACTGTGCCTGTAAGAGAGGCTAGAATTAACCATGGCAATTTGGACACGGTAGGTGAAAAGCAGCATTGTGGCAGGTTGGTGGAGATGGTTGATGGTCAACCCCTGTTCTGTGTGGTCGTATGTCAAAACAGGACCTTCTCTAGGAGCACTGCCTAGAGGCTCAGCAGCATCTGCAAGGTCTCACCACTCAGGGATGATGGAGAACTTCTGATGTTGCTTGCATGGGCTTTGTGCTCTGCTGCAGAGGCAACCCCTGGGACTGGGGTGTTCAGCATTTGACTTCCCCCCCCACTGAACCTTACTCCTGCTTTACTCACTGGGCATGCTTCAGTCCAGCTCAAATAATGTAGAAAATACACTGAAAAATGATTATATTTCTTCTGCATGATGCCTCTTCTGTACTTCAGGAGGCTTTCTCTGATGGCCGAAATAAGGGTAGCTGGGAAACCTGCATTCTGCACCTGACTTCTCCAGTGACTATCTGTACCTCTGGTGAAGTTAACAAATAATTTTTGTTTGCTTGGGTCCACTTGTGAAAGCTGGTAACGTTGTGTATAGCGATATTCAGGTTTTCTCTTCTCCCTTAGCCTTTTGTCCTTCAGCACATAAAAACTATTTATTAAACCCAAATAAATGCTGCTGCAGTTCACCTGGGCTCACCAAGCCAGACTCCGTGCTTGTTTAGATCTGCTGCAAAATGCCTATTTGCAGCTCAGGCTTATGTTACTGTGGGTTGGGCAGCAGAATTGGAGTCACCCACTGAGATGTCCTTGGCTGGGTTTTTGATAACTCGGTGTCATTGTTTAGACCCAGGCTGTGACTGAGGGCAGGATGAGGAGGAGAATGAAAAGAATGTAAACCCCATGGGTTGAGATAAGAACAGATTAATAACGAAAATAAAGTAAAATATAGTGATAATAAAATCCCAACAATAATGATAATAACATTAAACAACAAGAGAAGAAATGAAAGTTCAGAAAACACAAGTGATGCACAAAACAGTTGCTCACCACCCCACTTACTGATACCCAGCCTGACCAGAACAGTGATCGTTGTCTCCCAGCCAACTCCCCCCAGTTTATATACTGAGCATGACATGGTGTTTTATGGAATACCGCTTTGGCTAGTTGGGGCCAGGTGTCCTGTCTCTGCCTTCCTCCTGGCTTCCCCTCCTCACTGGCAGAGCATGAGACTGAAAAGTCCTTGATCAGGGTAAGCACTGCTCAGCAACAAGTAAAACATTGGTGTGTTATCAGCATTGTTCTCAGGCTGAAGCCAAAACACAGCACTGCACCAGGTACTAGGAAGAGAAATAACTCTTAACAGCTGAAACCAGGACACTTGGGCATCCCAGGATCCCACCGTCTTCCCAGCCCTGCTGAGTCTTCTGCTGGGGGAGTCAAAGGGAAGGCATGACCGGTCTCTGCAGGAGCTGGCCCTGTGTGAGCACGCTGGTGGGTACCGCTATAGAGCAGCCCCAGTGAGGGCTTTGCTCAGGGCCTCTGATCTGTGCACCAGATTAAGAAGTGACTGAAAATCCAGGATTTGGCTGTGTCTTTGCTTGGGTCTCAACCCTTCGTTCAGAGAAGAGTTTTTTCTTTCCCTTAACCTGAATTAACTTTCACAGGTGGGCAAGCCCCACTGTGTGGGTTGATCAGGAAAGTTGTTCAGCCCGTTTTTCTCTCTTGGGAGTACAGAACAGCTTTCCCATCACCAAAATTCCTGGTGTTGTATTAACTAGCTCCTAGCAACTTCTAAAGCACCTGAGAAAGAAGAATCACTGGCAGTGTGAGTGTTTTATCCACAATGAAAGCAAACACCATTCATATCTGAAGTCTTTTTTTTTTTTGCGGCCAATTGTTTGATAAAGACGTTGCAAACCAGATCTCTGCTTGTTCCTGTCAGTTGTGAAAAGGTCCTTTGTCAGCAGTGCATTGTGGTGGAATGAGCTTTATCTTCTGTATGTAGCTATCAGCTTAGGCTTTCCTCCTTGCAGTCAAAGAAAATCCTAATTAGAGCCCTAGAAAAACCTAATTAGAGCCCTGAACACTTCTAGAAGGCTTGCAGGGTATGGGCAAAATGTGTTTATTGGTCTCCTCCTAGCCCTTGTTGCTCAGCCTTTTAGGCAGAGCATCTCTATAATTTGATGTGAGGGAGTTGCTTGGATTTCCTCATGTTTAGAGAGCTACAAGAGTTGTAATCACTGCTTGTACACAGATTTCTTCATGGATGTTGAGTGCGAGAATAGGTGTTAGCTGCAGCTCTGGAGTACAAGCAGTGCTCAAGGTCACCCAGGAAGATGGGGTATTAAGTTGCTGTGCTCCAGCGGTGCAGTCTGGTGCTTCTGGAGCTGCCTGAAGATCTGACAAAACCTGCCCAATACCTGGGTAACCTGGAGCAGCCCCAGTGGTGCTTGCCCTCTGCGCTGTGTGGGCCTGCGCTGACACTGAGCAAGGGGAAAAGCTGTAGTTGATGTACCCCAGATCTTGCGTTCTGCATTGCCCCTTTGGGGCAGCTTCAAAGGGACTGTTGATATAAAGGCTTTCCTCTTGGTCGGCACAAGCACCTGGGCTGGGGGGGCTGCCAGGTTATCCCTGGGTGCAAGTTAAAAGATGAACTCCTTCAGCATTTAAAGTGTTTACTGATAAAATAGCAATGCCTTTCAGTCAGGGTGCAGAGTGTTGGGTCAAAATGTCCTTTAGGGGGTAGGTCTATGGACAGATGCATGTTATCAATTAAAAAAATAATACAAAATGCCTCAGTTTGGCTTCTTGTGAGTGTAATGTGAGGGTGTGTGTTTCGAAAGCACATAACTGATTACACAAATCACAGATGGGCTAAGTCAGTATTAATGATGGTTGGATGACAGTGAAAAGCAGCCCTGGCACATTGCAGGGATGTTCTTGTCATGACTAACCCCTCTCACTCTCACCCCAGAGGAATTTTTTAGTGCCCAGCACAGACAGGCACTGAAATTGCAGGTTTGCAGAAGTTTTCAAATCTCTCCCCAGCTGGCAGCAAATACAGGAATTGCAAGTATTTATTGGTTTAAGGGGGGGCAAAATAACCTCAGAGCTATAAAGTAAATTTGACAATGAAGGTTTTTTTAGGGAGTCTTCCTTTCTTTATGGTTGTGTGAGTCGAATGTATTGAAGCTTGGCAGAGGAAGAGGATTTAATCTACAGGTGCTGTCTCTAGCTTGATGGTTTCCTGCTTCTAAAATTACTCCCAGTTCTCTGGAATCGGGGCTGAAACTAGTTTCAGGTTTCGGTTTGCGGGCAACCTGCCTCACCACTTCAGCAGGCTGGATTTGTAAGGGTTGGGGGCA